CTATTTAACTATGCACCATATCAATTTTTGACACCCAATATAGATGATCTTTTTGATCAATTTCATGGAGCATCTCTTTTCTCCATGATCAAATTCTGTAGAGGATACTATCCAATATAATGGAAGTCGAAAGATGAATCGAAGGGAACATTCAAAATAAGATATTGCCAATATGATTAAATGGTAATATCATTCAATCTTTCCGATGTACCCAACTTCTTTAATCGCCTTATGATGCAAGTATACCACACATTGATTGGCAAATCCATAGCAATGTACTTCAATGACATCCTTACGTATACTTATGTATTAAAAACCATCAACTCTTTAAGATACTAGGAGCAAAAAAACAATATATAAATCCAAAGACATGTCAATTAACAAGTAAGATTAACTTATTTGGGTATGTCATCTCTTGTTTGAGAAGGATGAGAAAGTGAAGGCTATCTTGGATGGCCGATTCAATCTTTTAGGGATGTATGAGCTTTCATGGACATATGTCCTTCAATCAAAATTTCAGATTTTTGGGCACTACATTGATAGAACTACTCAAGAGGGACAAGTTGGTGTGGGCATCAACAACCCAATCTAGCCTTGATATTGTGAAGCAAATTGTTATACAGCTCATGTGGTGGTTTTGACAGATCTTGATTGTCTTTGAAGTGGACTTTAATGCCTCTAATGTTGGAATCAGTGTCATTTTAAGTCCAAGGAAAGCAAGCAATCGCATTCCGCAGTAAATGGTTAAATAAGACATGATGGAAATACTTCAGTTATTACAAGAAATCCTATGCCATCGTTCAAGCCTTTGAGCATAGGAAATACTATTTTCTGGTCAAGAAGTCATCTTGTTATTTGATCATGAAGTCCTAAACTGCCTATATAGCCAAAGCAAGCTTAAGTACAGATAAAAATGTAGAGTAGGCTAAATTCATTTCTTCTTTCCAGTGCATCTTGAAGCACAAATCCAACTTTCAAAACAGATTTGTTGATTCCCATAGCCACAGTACTCTCCAAAATACTGGTTTAAGATATTTAAAAACTTTATCCTAACAATAGAGATTTTGGCAAAAAAATGGCAGCATCATCAAAAAAATGCTAAATTAATTCCATCTTCAAGATGTATATCTATTTTTGAAGAATAGGTTGTGTGTTCCATGATGCTTGATGCAAGATGCTATCTTAATATCATAAAAGAAGTCTTGTGGAGGGTCACTATTTGCCGTCTCAAACTCTGGTAACCAATAACATTGAATCCAATATAGAAGAAAGTAAACGAGCTAGTGAGAGAAGAGAAGCCACATCAACAGGCATGAGTTATGATCATAAAAAGGAATACTATGTGCGGAAGTCAAGCTAACAAATCTGAAAGTTTAGTTTCTTTTAAAGGAGGTAATCAAAAGTGCATTCATTTGCAAAGGAAAATTGATGAGGTCATCGACAGACATTTTAGGCAGGTTTATCGGCGAAGGAATCGTAGATCGACGGCTACGATCGGGAGCTTATATTTTTGATGATGTCATGTCTTTTATGTTATTTTATTTTATGTATCTTTTATTTCATGTACTAGTGACGATTTCGCCCTTATGAAGGCGTAGTGTTTGTTGTAGCCCAATGGGCATGTGAGTCTTTTTCTTTTCATGCTTTGAGACCTTTATAAAGGGGTCTCCTCTTATTGTATGAGCTTAATGTTGGATTAATAAAATTTTTGAGAGTTTTCTTTGTCTTCATGCTTGAGAGCTTGAGAGAAAGAGAGGAGGCCTAGGAGAGGCTCCATCCGAAATACCCAACAGTCACCTTGGTGAGCTCTTGGCTTTTATTTTATTTTGTTGTTTTCTTCTTTCCCCACCACCTCCCCATTCACCCGTCCCCTCCCCCCTGCAGCCGGCCCAGCAAATCCCCCCCCAGAACCACCGAAACCCCCCCTTCCTCCCTCCTTGCCGCCGGCTAAGCCAGCCGCCGGCCCACCTGGATCCCGCACCCACCTCTCTCCCCATTCCCGTTTCCTGCTGCCGACTAGGCCCAAAGCCCACTCAGATCCCGCCGATCTCCCCTCCCGTTTCCCCTGTTGCCGCCGGCCCAGCACAGCCACAGCCTCCCCTCTACCGCCCGGATCTTCTTTTCCCTGGCTTAGCCCGCCAGTTTCAGTGCATGGAGAAGTTTGAATTCAGCCATCAATTCTCTTTTATCGCTTTCCTAATTTGACTCCTCAAATTAGTGAATAATTGATTGAGGATTAATGATCCAAATTCAAATTCAAATTTCCCTCCCCCTCTTATTTGAAACTTCCCTAATTAATTAAAATCTGAAATTAAAGCTCAAATTTTAATTAAAACCTTGGGGCCCACTAATTAATCAAATCCCTCCCCTTTCTCCTTGCTTGGCCGGCCCCCTTCCACCTAGCCCTTCTCTCTCTACTTGCCACCTAAGCATCCACTAATTTCCCACTTAATTTCCCCTATTAACCACCCATCTCTCTCATAATTTAGGGAGAAATTAATAGCAAAATAATTCCTCCCTCCAATTTTAAAATCTGAAATTCAAATTCAGATTTCCTCTTCCCCCTCTCTAGCTCTCGGCCCAACTATTCCACCCTTCTCTACTCTCCGTCCTCCTCAATGTTGAATGGCGGATCCGGAGTTTGAGTGGGGATTAGTATTCCACGCCGACGGGAGCATTGATATCCTACGATCTCCGTGCTTTGGCGTAGGATTTGAAGACGACGCCACAATTGAAGAGTACTTGGAGCGAGTCATCCCGATTCTCGCAAGCATCTTCGACCGACAGTTTCGTGACTACACTTGGACGATCATCAGACGCCATCCACCACCACCTCCTCCGGCGACTACCTCTCCGGTCACGAAGTCTTTCGTCTCCCTTTTCGTAGTGGTGCTCTCCATCTTCGTGTGGTTCTTGTTTCTCCGCTAAAAGCCCAAGAGTGAACGAGAGAGAGAGGGTACTCAAGGTGAAATTCTTCATTATTAATTGTGGGATTTTTGTTATGAGCAATTAAGTAGACCTTTTTATTTTGGGATTGTTATGAATTGTTTGGTTATCTCAAAGCAAATCTTCGCCTAAGCAAGTTAATTACCTAGAACAATTTAATCCTTTATTTTATTGGTAATAAAATTTGTTTTGACAACGCTTTGAATAACTTTCATGTTAATTTTCCAAATGCAATTCCTACATTGATTCACATCAAAAAAATTTCCTTAGGACCATTTACAAAGCTCAAATACAAACTTGATGGCTCTTTTCAGGCCATATAGTATATATGGTAAAATCTCTACCAAGTTGACTTAACTGGAGAGACAAGCATATCTGCAACATTCAACGTTATAGATCCGTTGTAACCCTAATATGAGTAAGAAAATATTCAAGACTTCTAGGATGAGTCTCCATCAAACCAGGGAACATGACTTTATCGAAAAATTCAATTAGTTGATAGAGTTTTTTTATAAAATTTTCTTTGGATTATTTTTTCTACTTTGTTGGAGGGTACTTTTGTAATACCAATTATTACGATCTTGAGGAGTTTGGGGTCTATTATAGGCTCTTTTTTCCTTGAGAATTTCAATTTTCGAGAGTTTAGTTTTCAGGTTTTCCTAATGGGGAAGAGTTCCCACATTTTGGATAATTGGGAAGATAAGGAAATCATAGTGAAGTCTTGGACTCTGCCAAAATTAATCATCGAAGATCCTGCACCACTCCTGCAGCCAACAAAGGCCATTTGCAGAAGTTACAATAGTGGTAAAGGTTTTAATGGCAATGGCTACGAGGATTTTAGCAGACATCTAGTTTAGAAGAAAACAAGGAAGATAGGATTGATATGCTTTCAGAAATTTGAGGTAAACAACAACAACAATTTAATCATCATGCATTTCTCCTTAATTTTCTTTGGAGCATCTTCTTGAAATGATGACTACAAAGAGGAATTTGGAACTCTGGATGATTGGAATAAGAAAATCACAATTACTCTTGATCTGAGACATTTGCAACTCAAGAAAACATCTGAGTTTTACAATTTTGAACCAAGAAAAATCCAAATCTAGTTATTTATTTTATTGTTTCTCCTATTTCATTGTCTCGTTAAAAGCCACAATAGTCTATCTATTCTTTTTATCTCATGAAAACCACAATACTCAAGGTTGCTGGAATTCCACCAAATCTTGGATTAGGCAACTAGTGCTGGAACATTGAAACCCACGGACATGGAACTGGTGGTGGCGAGAGAGAGGGAGCATCAAAATGGAGCAACCACTGGCAAACCTTTTGCCATTTTCCTTTGGTTGGAAGAGGGTTGAGAAAATGGGATGTTCGATTCAAGAAGGTCAAGCTGCTTTAGAATCTAAACTACATGAGATCAAACAATCAATTCCCAGAGCATAAATCCAATTCCGGCTGCAAAAATACCCTGGAAAGGCGAGGTTTTTCAAGTAGCTATTTCTTGCCAAGTTTTCTTTGTAATCTTCATTTGGTCGGCATAAAATAGTTTTTTAATTTCTAGACGACATCGTCCTCTAAAGTGTCTTGAACTCTCAGTTTCACTGATTCAGTAATATATAATTAACTCTATTAATAAATAACTGATTAATATATTAAAGCCCCATAAGCCTAACTAAAGTTAAATTAGGTAATACTTACCTTAATTAACTGACATTTAACTTGTCTAATGAATCAGATCACCTTATATATCTAAATAAACCACTCTTCTTAGTTGCATCAATAACAGTTTTCAGGATTTACAATCTCAAGACTTACCGAATCCACAATTAAAGGCTTCGGTAAATCTGGATTTATTTAGTCCTAATTACATTCAAAAAGCCCCAAAGAAGGAAGACCTAATGGATTAAGAGATTAAAGGTAAAAACAGCCTGCAAATCAATGAAGATTATACAACAATAAATAAAAAGAAATTCAGATCCTCCAAACAGCTACACAACAAGATCATAAATATAAGATGAGAAAATATGAGATACGAAGCGATGGCAACACCAAACCTGGCTGAACTTAAGCGCGTGCTGCTCGCCGGGGAGCTGTAGGGAACCGCTAACGAAGACGAGCACACCACCTGCAGGACCGGATGGCTGACAATCAATGGTGGATATGTTGTGCTGGCACTGTTGGAATGGGAGGCCGGTGAGCTTGGCGGTGATGGCGGCGGCGCCCTGCGTCTTTGCTCCCTCAAAGGACAGCATCGAGTTGTCCTGATACAGACCCGCAAGGCCAGCACGGTTCGTGTCGAAGGTCCGATAGTAGTGTTCCACGAATGCGCGGGCCACCGGGATTTAACGCGCGCACAAAAACTCTTTGGCTGGATTTAACTTAAATCCGACTTAAATCCGCTGTAAATCCGATACCAAACAGCCCCTTAGTGTGAGTTTTTTAGTTGAAGAGATCTAAAGCTAAATGGTTGAGTAATGGATAAGATGATTTCAGTTTTCTTTATTCCAAGATTTTTAAGTGACATCATATTAATTCTATTAAGGTTATTTTTACTTCAAATGGTTTAATCTATCACTTTAAGGGTATTTATAAAGCCTTGGTTATGTGTTTTTATTGCAGGCGAGAATATATGCGGCAGTAGAGTAAGGGAATAAAACGTCTTAATAATGTACGTATATCTGACATATGAATATATAGTTTAGAGAGAAGAGAACACTATATGTTTTTTTACATGGAAAATCCAAAAATGGAAAAATCACGGGGCCTCGCCCGTATGGGAAAATTCCACTAAATTTGAATGAATTACAAAGTTTGATTCGCTCTTTTGCTTGAAGATGGTGGAATTATAATAGATTGGAGAGTTCGACAGAAGTCTGGTGTTGATCAACCGACGAAAGTTCGTCAATTGTCAAAAAGAACTTCGACGGTGATTGACAATAGGACAGAAGTTCGACGATGGTCGACAGGCGGGTAGAAGTTCAGTGATGGTGGTCGAGAAGAACTCTAGCGGTGGTCGACGAACGTGTTGAAGGCCGACAATGGTCAGGTAGAACTCTAGTGGTGGTCAGGTAGAACTCTAGTGGTGGTCAGGAAGAACTCTAGCGGTGGTCGACGAACGGGCTGAAGTCTGGTGGTGGTCGACGAATGAGTGGAAGGCTAGCAGTGGTCGACGAATGAGAGGAGGTTCGACGGTGGTCAAGAAGAACTCCGACAATGGTCGATGAACGGGTGGAAGTTTTATGGTGGTTGACGAATGCACAGAAGGCTAACAGTGGTCGGGAAGAACTCCAGCAGTTGTCGACGAATAGGCGGAGGGCCGACGATGGTCCATGAATTAGCTAAGGTCCGGTGGTGGTCAGGAAGAACTCTCGTAGTGGTCGATGAATAGGCGGAATTTCTGCAGTGGTCGACGAATGTGCGGAAGGCCAACAGTGGTTGGGAAGAGCTATAGGGGTGGTCGATGAACGGGAGGAAGTCCGGTGGCAAGTAAACATTGGCAAACTCTTCCTTTTTCCTCCCCTCTTTTTCTCCCCCTTACATATGAAGAATGGGGGCTTATTTATGGGTTTTTGAGAATGGCATGACTTGTAAATATGGGGAAGATCAAGTTCATGATGGGAGTGGTTTGAATGGATTGTCGATATTAATCCATTTGATCGTGGTCCGTTTATTGATCATTTGAATGTATTAATGATATCAAAATTTAGCGATCTTGGGCTCATTTGATTTGTCTCATCGAACCACTCAATTTGATTATAAGAATGTCACGTTTAGAATTCATTTGGTAATCCAAATTATGCTTTGAATATTTTAAATATGCTTTAGACCTTTGATTTGGGCTTGGATTTGACTGATTTTGGTGATTGGGTTCGTCCTTTTGAGACGTTCAGTTCGATTATAAGCTTTCAACTCAATTTTTCTTAAAGATTTTTATCCGATCAATATAATTTTTTTATGATATAATAGTTGAACAGTTTTGTCTGAACAACTATTTATAACGTACAGTATGGGTCTAATTTTTAATTGATCGTACAAATGAACTCAAATCGTATTGTACTAACAGTGATGGCAAACTTGAATTTTTAGGGTTTTTTGAAGCCCAATACTTAAGCAAAGCTTTTAGAATCTCTTAGTAATGATAAGAGGATTGTGTGACTACTGAAGGTACTTTGAGAGAGAAGCTTGTGAGAGAGATCCAAGATTTAAGAGGAAAGAGAAAGTGAAGTTGAGCGTGAGGGAGAAGGAGTGTGAGGGGATCACACGGTTGCTCCGGGCTAACTACACCCTTGCTTTTCCTATGGCATTGGTGATTTTTTGAAGGCTCTCTTAGGAGAGAGGCTTCTAAGTGAAGTCCTCGGGGTACTCTGCCTTCTCCAAGAGGGAGAAAAATGATTTTAGGTTCTCTACTTGTGAAATGATTCCTTTTCTCTGCCATCTCCAATGGGGAGAAAAAAGATTTGAGATTTTATGCTTTCTCCAAGAGGGATAAAAATGATTTAAGGTTTGCCTTCATTAGGGGAGGTGACATAGCTTCTGACACTCTGCATGTTTACTTTCTTATAGTCTATAGATGATACATATGGATGTTAGTACAAGAATGATATTATGCACCTTTTTATCTTGTGAATGACATCAAAACTAAACTATTATTTAATAAATGGAGTAATGAGGATAGGGATTTAGCCCAACTAAACACAAAATGTTTAAATTATTTCTTTTATGTATGGAAATTTGAAGATTATATATGTGTATCAACTTATACCATAGGAAAAAGATATTTGGAATAAATTATGCATAACCTACGAAGAAACTAGTGAAGTAAAATAATCTAGGTTAAATATCATGCTTCATGTTTACAAAATATTTCACATGAAACCTAGTGAATTAATTTTTGAAAATGTATATATACTAGGTTTACACAAATAGTGACATCCTTGCATACGTTAGGTAGAGAACTAACAAATTCTAAAAAAAGTCAATAAGATTATATGTTGTCTACCTAAATCTAACCTTTGAATAATATTATAGGTATGCTCTCACAAAAGGTCTAGTGAGAGCATGTGGTATCTAGACAGTGGAAGCTTGAGACATATGTCTAATGATATAAAGAAGGTCATCACATTGGAGGCAAGATCAAGAGGCAAGGTGACATTATGAGACAACACCACTAGGAAAGTAGTGAGCTTAGATATAATCAACAATGCTAAAAGCTTTATCATTGAAAATGTTTTAGTAGTTGATGGTTTAAAGCATTACTTACTGAGCATTGGTCAACTATGCGAAAAGTGTTTTACATTAATTTTCTTTCTGAAAAATACATGATTAGTTTAAATTGTGTTAGAAGAAAAATGAATGAATAATGTTTACAAACTAGACTTGAACTGTATTGAAAATTCAAATTCTATATGCTTGAAAATAATTGTTGATGATTCCTGGCTATGACATAGGAGATTATGTCATGCGAGTAAGAAAACTCTTAGGAAGATTATCCAAAAAGACTTAGTTAGAGGCATACCTAAGTTAGACTTCACTAAAAATCACCTATGTGATGATTGCTAACTAAGAAAATAAGTCAAGTCTTCATTTCATTTAATTAAGGACATCAACACCTCCAGGCCGCTATAAATTCTTCAGATGGACTTATCTGGACCTATTAGTATAGCCAACCTAAGAGGGAAGACATAGATTTGTGATATTATATGACTACTCTAGATTTACTTGGGTTAGATTCCTAGCATAAAAGAGTGAGTCATCTGAGAAATTTAGAACTTTTTTCACTTGGATTCAAATGAAATTAGGATATGAAATTTCAACCATTCAAAATGAATATGGTGGACAATTTAAATTTGAATCTTTATGCTAAGAAATATGTATATAATATAACTTCTCTGCCCTAAGACCCCTCTGCAAAATGGAATAACTGAGAGAAAAAAATAGAATATTAGTAGAAGCTGCTAGGGAAATGTTAGCTGAATACACTATCCCTAGATAATTTTGGGCAAAAGCAGTGAATATTGCTTCTTATGTTTTGAATAGGATGAATGTAAGATCCAAGTTGAATATGACATCCTATGAACTCCTTAAAGGTATGACATCCAATCTTTTCCACTTACATGTCTTTGGATGTAAATACTTTATCTTAATCAATGAAAAATCACCCTTAGAAAGATTTGATCAAAAATCCGATGAAAGAATCTTTTTAGGTTATTCATTTGTAGTGAAGGCCTATAAAATCTTCAATAAGAGGACCTTAGTAGTAAAAGAGTTAACCCATATTGTATTTGATGAATCAAATAGGACCTTTGAAACTCAACTTGAAGAGAAGAAATAGAGGTCATTGAAGGAGTACAAGCCAATACTATAGGAGATATATTAGAATCTAATCTCAGGAGCATTTGCCTAGAGATAGAGATATTCTTCTAGTTATCCTAAAAAAACTAATCTTAAGAGACCCATCATAAGGTGTTAGAACTACGTAGGGACTTAGGAAGGAGGTTAATCATTATATATTTATTTTTATAATAGAACCCACCAACTTAGATCAAGTCTTTTTTGATGAATTCTAGTTCCTAGCAATGTAAGAGAAATTGAATCAATTTGTTAGAAATAATATATAGAAATTAGTTAAAAGACCTAAGGACTAGAGTATTATTGAAATAAAGTGGGTGTACAAAAATAAAATGAATGATTCTTGAATAATAATGAGGAATAAGGTTAGGTTAGAGGCTAAGGAGAACAATCAGATTGAAGGGATTTATTTTGAAGAAACTTTTTCCTCTGTAGTTAGACTAGAAGTCATTAGGGTGCTCGTAGCCTTTGCTTATTTTAAAGAATTTAAGCAATATCAAATAGATGTTAAGAGTGCTTTCTTAAATGGGGTAATCAAATATGATGTATATGTTGAGCAACCACCCATACTTAAGCAAAGCTTTGAGAATCTCTTAGTACTGAGGAGAGGATTGTGTGACTACTAAATGTGCTTTAAGAGGGAAGCTCGTAAGAGAGATCCATGGTTTGAGAGGAAGGAGAAGGTGAGGTTGAGCGTGAGAGAGAAGGAGTGTAAGGGGATCACATGGTTGCTCAGGGCTAGCTACACCCTTTCTCCTCACGTGGCCTTGATGAGTTCTTGAAGGCTCTCTTGGGAGATAGGCTTCTAAGTCATATCCTCGGGCTACTCTGCCTTCTCCAAGAGGGAGAAAAAAAAATTGATGTTCTTTACTTGTGAAAGGATTTCGGTTCTATGCCATCTCCATGAGGGAGAAAAAGGATTTATGGTTATCAGCTTTCTCTATGAGGGAGAAAATGATTTAAGATTCGCTGCCATCACCAGGGGAGGT